CCGCAGACCAGATCTGTAAGGCACCTCCTCTCCTGCCAGGCCCAAGCGTTCAGCAGGAAGGTGCTCTTGGCAGTTGTCATTCTCTATAAGGTATTGCTAGCCTAATCGTCTTCTGTGCTGTCCTGGAAAATGAATTGGGAAAACAGAGTTAGGTACCTGGAAAAGTATTTTCCATGAATCCTCCAGAACAACAGGGATTCCCACTAATATATATATATATATATATATATATATATATATATATATATATATATATATATATATATATATATATATATATATATATATATATATATATATATATATATATATATATATATATATATATATATATATATATATATATATATATATATATATATATATATATATATATATATATATATATATATATATATATATATATATATATATATATATATATATATATATATATATATATATATATATATATATATATATATATATATATATATATATATATATATATATATATATATATATATATATATATATATATATATATATATATATATATATATATATATATATATATATATATATATATATATATATATATATATATATATATATATATATATATATATATATATATATATATATATATATATATATATATATATATATATATATATATATATATATATATATATATATATATATATATATATGTGTGTGTATATATATATATATATGTGTGTGTGTGGTGGTTTGGAGGGACGGCCCCTTTTATTTTCTTTGTGGGTGATGTGTTTCCTGTTTGTAGGTGGGTGGATCCCCTCTCTCCTGTGCTGTCTTGGAAGATTTGTGGAAAAGACGTTACCAGGTATCTAACTCTTTTTTAAAACCGCTGAGAACTAGTTGAAAAAGGTAAAAGTTTATCAGACATGCCGCAGCGCTTTTATTTTGATCGCACTGTGTGAAAGCAGCATCTGTTCCTGGAGAGTAAACTATGGTTATTATTTCAGCTAATTATAGCTAAACCTGACCGAATCGGAGCAGCCAACAGTACAGGAAAATCTATCCTATTCGAAATGTTTGCATGTTTGTTGCTCTAGGACAGAAGGCAAACTTTGATGACGCTGCTTAGGCCTGTTGTTCAAAGGAAATGGTTTTAATTGAGCAGGTAAGTTTTATCACCATAAAATAACATTTGCATTACAAGTACCTGACTTTTTCTTTATATTAGCCTCTCCTAAACCCCTGCAAACCAAGGTTTAGACCGAAAGCCAGAATGCTGTCAGTATAAGTATTGCACAGTGCTGTCAGTCTAACACAGTTTGTTTACAAGAGAGGACAGAAGTATGGGGGCAGAGGGCGACCTAGCTGAAATGTTTGAAGAAATGTTAGGTCACCCACCAGACTATGCAGGGGGGTGAATCACAAGAGACGTCACGTGACAGATTACAGATGTTGGCAGGTAAAAGTTCACCTTTTTATGTATTTTAACAGCGCATTTAGCAGTCTGTAAAAATGGAGGAATTATCATTGTCTCAAAATCCCCATCTCCTCTAATTGAAGAATAAATGTCAGTCAAAGTACCGCAGCGCTGAATACTGAAAAATGGCCTGGATGGGAAGGGGGTATAAACACCCCGGTCAGCAAGTGGTTAAAAGAGAAGTCAAACCTTTTTTTGGCTTTACTTCTCTTTTGGGTCACAGGAGTAAATTTACTAATGTCCTCCTGGGAGCCAAAGTCAACATCTAATGGGGGTATTGTCCACTACATGCTGACAGAGCAGAGCCAGGCCACAGGTGGGAAGGAACCCAATAGTATTGTCACAAACTACTCGCCTGCCTGATTGACAGTTGGCTCTGCCTCCCTAGAGTCAGAGCCAGCTTTCCCTGCCCCCTCCAATGAGCACTGGAGGAATAGAGAGAGGGGAGGGGTGAATCCATGCAGGAAGCGGTGTCTGACAGTCACAACTCTCTGCAGGGAGAAGCCATGAGCTGGGCGATCAGCGGTCACATGATCACTCAGCTCTTAGGTATATAGAGCTAGTGTGTGACGGCTACAGTATCCCACATCAGCTTTAAGTATTAGGAACAGTACATTTTATTCTCCAAATACTTCTCCTTTAACCTCCATGGCGGTATTCCCGAGGGTGGCTCGGGGTTAATTTTTCAGTACCATAAGCGGTAACCCCGAGCCACACTCGGGATTACAGCGTAGCGCCTCTTACCTTGTCCACGATCCCCGCTGTGTCCTCTGGCCAATGCCGTCTTCCGGGTTCTGTCCCATGCGAGCGTCCGCGTCACAGGAGGTGCGGAACCGCCATGAATTTTAAAAGTAAGAAAACAAAAAAAATAGAACAAAGAAGGAAAAAAAAAAAAAAATAATCAGACTGCCAGGGAGGTTAAACAAATCATTTTTGTGAATCTGTTGCATTAGTTTCTTACCTGGAGAACCTGCCAGTAACAGCACTTCCTGTTGCAAGCCAACACTAATGAACTCCATCCCCTGCTGAGCATGCTCTTCCAGTTGGCTGCACGCCTGCAAACCTGGTAGGAAGCACAATGGCCAGCTGTAGGGGCTCCCACAGGCTGACAACGCTGCTACTAATTGATAGACAGCGGCTCAGCATTGTCAGCCCGCAACAGAAAGTTCTGTTACTGGCAGGATCTCCAGGTAAGAAACTGTGCAACAAATTCTCCATGAAGTTGTTCTTTAACCGTTTCACTGCCGCCAGCAGTGGGGTCCTGTAAGCAGACTCCCGTTTACATTTGAAAACATTTTTGTTTACAAACCTTTTCTAATAAATGGGGTCGAGTCCACAGTTGTTTTAACTGTAGTGACGGCACAAATCAAAGGATTTCTCTTCAATGAAATTCAGTGATTGAGCTTTCATTCATCCCAAAACCGAATGTTACATTCAAACGAGATTTCCAATGATATTCTACAGGTCTGTGATGGCATTACCGAATGTTCATATGAAAATCTGCCAGTGTACGGCCAGCTTTCCTACTGGCTGCCATCAGTTTCACTTTAAGAAGAAAGCGCACACTCATCTGTATTCTATGCAATCTGTAGAAGTTGCTGAAGCAGCAATCACCTTGGAGCTCTGTGCTCCCTATAATCTCACAGTAAGAGGCATTTTAATTCTTACTCTACACAGGCCACAGAAATGTGTCGGCATGCCCGAATGACTTTCATTGCACAGTTTAGGCATGCGTAGGGTTAACGATGGGAGTAGCGGTACTTTTCTCATAAGTAGTGGTTTTAGCTTTTTAGAAAATGAGGATTAAAAGAGAAATCCATATTCCATAAGATTTCATAATAGCTAGGAAATAAAACTAGGAGTGTGCCTTTTGTTTTTAGACATAGGAGGATTCTGGTCACCAACTAGCCATTGCACTCAATGTAGTTCTGTCCAGCAGTGTCCCCTCGCTTTATTTGTAGCATGTGGCACAGGTACACCTCCAGCTCCGATTTCTAAGTCAGCCTTTCTCAACCAGGGTGCCGTGCTAACCTGGTGTGCCTTCTGGCTTCCTCAGGGGTGTCTCAAAATGTTCCTAGGGGGACTGTGATCTGAAGGGGGACTCTGATGTGAAAGGGGGCTACTAATTTAAAGGGGGGTTCCTAATG